ACACACGCACAAACACACACACACACACACACACACACACACACACACACAAACATACACACACACACACACACACACACACACACACACTCACAAACACACACACACACAATTCATAATAAAACTATTATATAGCTTGTATAACTCCTACCCCTGCTCAAAAACAAGTTCTGCGTCCTTTACAGCAGCTGCTGACTTTTACATGAATTACCCTAGCAGACCCCGGAACACCCAGAAACATTCTCAGCTTCCGAAAAAAAAAACATACATCCCCAACCCTTTGTCTCATGACGTTTCACGTTACTCCACCCCCCTACGTCACTCAAGTCTTAACACCTCTAAAAGCGTCCGTCAATTTCCAGTCTTCCTTGGCGTGCCAGTCTCATTACTACCTGTCTCTATTTGCCGGAGATAAGCCCGTCGCAATAAATTGACAAAACCGAACCCGATACAACACAAGGGGAATAAGCAGATATGTATTGCAGTAGGTGTGCAAGTGGCGGCGGTTACAGTAAATAATTATTGCCGGTCTATCCATAGATCGATTTTGTCACGTTGTATTGGCGAGACGTGCACTAGATTCGTAGTAACGGGGAGACGTCCTTGGGCAAGAGACGGTGGTTTTAATATATTTATGTAGTAGTAGTAGTAATATTAATAAGAAGAAAAAGAATGATATAATAATAATAATAATAATAATAATAATAATAATAATAATAATAATAATAATAATAATAATGATAATAATAATAATTGTACTGATGATAATAATTTAAAAAACGTAATAATAATAATAACCATCATCATCATCATCATCATCATCATCATCATCATCATCATCATCATCATCATCATCATCATCATCATCATCATCATCATCATCATCAAAGTAGTAATAATAATATTAGGGCGCTATACAGTGACGAGTACCAAAGGAGTTATATAATTCAATAATATTTACAACATTGTGAATGGATGTTGCCATGTTTTTGCAGAACAAATCACCATAATCATGAACAGAACTGCCTTTACTTATTTCTGTTTTCTTCCTGTCTTCTTTTCTTTTCTAATTTTTTCTTCTTTCTGCGTGTTTTTCCCTCTTTCTGTCGTTGTATCCTTTTTCCCTTTTCTTTCTCGAGTTCTGTCTTTCTTACTTTTTTTTTACCTACTAGTCTATCTTCACCAGCACCTAAGAAGAAGTTCCTTTCCTCTCTCCGCCCAAAGCGGGAGCCAGCAACAAACAGACAAGCACACCCGTCAAACGACTCTATGCAAACTCAGAACTCTCTCATTTCCCCTCCCCGGAGCATTGGCTTATTGACTCTACCCTCCCCTCCCACCAGAGAACCCACCATTTGACGGATCAGCAGAGGAAGATCCACCCCTTAATTTCCTTAATGTAAATAAAGGAATCGGCAATATGATACCTTCTTGAGAGAACATCCCTTCGTCTCGGGCAGAAACCTCAGTCTCCGCTTCAGCTTTAAAAAATTGGAACCCGGATTGACATGCTATGAAACAAATCGATTCCTTTCCGACGTATTAATTTCTGCATTGCAGCTATGAGGCATGTTTTGTTCGTACGCCTCTATGTAATTTAAAGATCTTCGCTCTTTTTGTTCTTAGGCATAAGAGACAGATTGTGTTTCATAAAGGAGGTTTAATATGATAGCTGTCTGACATCTCATCATAATTCTTATTGCTTGTGATTTTCTTGCCGTGACAAGTTTAAAAGGATACGTCTATAGTGATCGTCTTTCTCTCTCTCTCTCTCTCTCTCTCTCTCTCTCTCTCTCTCTCTCTCTCTCTCTCTGCTTTCGCTGTCTCTCTTTCTCTGCTTTCGCTGTCTCTCTTTCTCTGCTTTCGCTGTCTCTCTCTCTCTGCTTTCGCTGTCTCTCTCTCTCTCTCTGCTTTCGCTGTCTCTCTCCCTCTCTAACTCTCTCTTTCTCTCTCACTCTTGTTCTCTCTATCTCTCTCTATCCCTCTCTCTCTTTCTCGCTCTCTCTCTCCCTTTTTCTTCTTACCATTTTCTCTCCTCTCTCTGTGACTGTCAGTGTGCCCGTATGCATGTGTGTGTGAGTGTGAGTGTGTGTGTGTGTGTGTGTGTGTGTGTGTGTGTGTGTGTGTGTGTGTGTGTATCTATGCATGTATGTATGTGTGTGTGAGTGTGTGTGTGTGTGCGTGCGCGCGCGTGCGTGCGTGTGTGTGTGTGTGTGTGTGTGTGTGTGTGTGTGTGTGTGTGAGAGAGAGAGAGAGAGAGAGAGAGAGAGAGAGAGAAAGAGAGATAGTGTGTGTGAGAGAGTGAGTGTGCGTGTATGTGTGTGTGTGTATGTGTGTGTGTGTTGGGTGGGTATTTGTATGCGAGTGCGTGAGTGCGTGCGTGCCTGCGTGCGTGCGTGCGTGTCTGTTGATATACTGCACGCTTCATTCCTCATATGTTACTTCATGTGTGGCATACAGACACTGATACAGGCTCCCACACACATTCCTGTTCACACATTCTGTTTGATAAGTCACGTTTCTGCAAATCTTTTCAAAATTTCTATGAAAATGTAGGCGAAACGTAGTTTTAAGGAGGAAAGTTTCATATTTGTATTTAAATAAATTTAACGCCAATACATACGTAAATGTTGTTTCTTTTCAATACTTCACTTACAAATGTATGATGATGATGATGATGATGATGATGATGATGATGATGATGATGATGATGATGGCTGTGGTGGAAATGGAGGGAGCACGGGCCAAAATGACCAAATAAAAAAGAACAGGAAGAAGAGAATAGCAAAGTAAAGTGATACAAACAGAAGGCCAATGAAATCTGCCCGGAAGTAAAATGTTTACAATAAAACGACAATACAGACAGCGATGAAAGCAGAGGTAATTGTCTAGTGTCCATATTGGTTTTGCAAAAGAAGACAGTTTTTATATCCTATTTTATTTGCGCTGTAAAGAAATATGTCAAGCTTTATAACCTGTTCTCGAAATTTGAGAGAGCTTATTTCACAATGCATTTTTCGCCTCTGCAAATTGAAACTAAGATTTATGGGTGAAATACATGTCACCACCCCTCCCCGCTCAATTTTTAAAATACTGTGTATATCAAAAGCGTCTTTTACACATGCCGCTATTGCGTCCAACATTTTAGGGTAAGAGAATGGAGACACCTGGGTGCGTATTAGTTTAACTGAGCTCCAAATGGAGGATTAATGTTTACGATTACTGGTTTATATGACGTTGAGAAGTGAATTAGGTGAAAGACATGTGACAAAGTGATGTCGAGCCGAAAGTAAAATATTTGAGACTGTTGAATGCACGGTTTTTTTTTATTAGGCATTTATTTGGCGACCCCTTTAAACCAGTGACGTTATCCAAGGGTTATGACCTCCTATTTTTAAAAAAATCCGTAACTGATTGGAACGACAATACTTCAATTCAGTTTAGTTTCTGGAAAGTAGAGCTGCAAGTACCCCATTTTTATTGGCCTACTCTGTGCCTAATAGGTTTTGCACTTCCATGAAATAGCGAAAAGCATTACATAAGATACTTTGAATAGACGTGAAGGCTTGGTGGCCGTGTAACTATGAGTTTCTAGCTACATGCACATTATAATCTGTTACGATATAGCTCGTTATAGTTTGGAGGTCACGCACTTTACCAATATTATTATTATTTAATTAATTAATTAATTAATTTATACATTAATTATTTCTTTACTAACTTTGGGCTTACCTATGGCATAGAGGGTCTCATCCACACAGCCTTCACAGAAGACCTCGACCACAGTGAAGATGTTATACGGAGTCCAAGTGACGATAAACGCCAACAAAATGGCCGTGAGCGTCTTTGCCGCTTTCTGATCCTGACGTCGCTCCTGCCTGCGAGACTCCACCTTAGAGCGAGCCATCTGCTTCGCTTTACGCACCCTTGTGGCCGCTTTAGCAGCGATTTTCGCCTGCATTGCCACTTTATTTGAGTCACTGCTTTGTGCTCGGCGCGCTAACGCCGGGGTACCTGTCGGAGGTCTCACTGGAGGGGGTATCGATGGTCGATCGTGAATCCCTCGGGAGCTGGCGTCTTCATCGTCCTCGGTATCACTTTCGTTTCTTTGTACAAGTTCCGGGTTGAGTTCGCTGAAGCGGTCCATATCTTCCTCTGGCTCCCTCCGAATGGACGGTTTAAGGTTCGAATCTACGCTATCTTGCGGAGGCAGACGTATAAGAACCCTGTAGACGGCGCTATCGTCATCGTCGTCTTCTTCCTCACTCTCTTTCTTTTCCACCGATTCCTGATCTCCTCTGAAAGTGCGGAACGATGGTGTGGACGTCCTGTTTTGTTTTGGCGGATCCTCGCAAATGACCTCCGACACGGGGTCGCAGAACGAGGTGGTGGTCACGTCACGGGGGTAGTGCAAGCGTGACGCAGCCACGTCGCTGAGCGGAGAGGGCAATGCCTGGTCCGGCGTGGATGACGTTGTGTCAACGCTCAGGTCACGAGGAAGAAGAATGCCACACGTGGTTGAGGTGGGGCTGGGCGAGTCTATGGGAAGCAGCGGTATAAGAGACGTGCTGAAATTCATCTTGACCGAGCGAGATGGTTTACATATCGGGACTTGTAGGCTCGCTGTAGATTTATCCGAATCTTGGCGAGGAAGGTTACCTCCTTTCCCATTAGAGCGAATGGCGGAAATGTTATGTATAGTGGATGTTGACTGAGCATTGGACGTTGGTGGAGACCCTGGGGGTTCAGATGTGCTAGAATCCTCCATGTAGTCTGAATCACGGTCTATCTTTAAACATCCTAGCAATTTACTTTTTACTCCCGTGGACGTTTCGGGGTGTTCGAACCCATTCTGATGGACAAGAACGTTATTCCCTTTGTCACTGGTGCTAGAGTAGCCTTCCTCATCACTGGACGCCATCGACTTCTTGCTCGAATGGAACGGATGATGATTGGGGTCCTTGATCTTTTTTGACTTATGCATACCCTGGAGTTTGGGCAAGTCTTTCTGTCGCTTCTGCGTCTCTCGATAAATCCGGAAGTACAAGACCGTCATGATGATGACCGGGATGTAAAACGCGAACATGGCGGTGATGATTGTGATGTATTGGTTGGTCTTCAGGAACTGTATATAACAGCCCGTGTTCGGAACTGTCCTCTTGCCCTCGATGTATGGCCAAGCAAAGATCCAGGGAGTCCACATGATGGAAGAAATGACCCACGCGCACCCGATCATGGTGGCGGCTCGACGAGGCGTGCGCTTGGCGCGATAGGTCAGAGGTCGGGTCACGCTGAGGTACCGGTCGAAGCTGATGATAATGAGGTTAGCTACGGACGCGTTGCTCATGGTGTAGTCCAGAGATAGCCACACGTCGCACATGAGGGCTTTGAGAGGCCAGTAACCCATAAGGAGGTACACGGTGTACAGCGGCATGGAGACGATGCCTATAGTCAAATCTGCTACGGCCAGACTTAGAAGAAAATAGTTGCTCACAGTTTGAAGATTCTTGTCCAGTTTGAACGCGACGATAACTAAAAGATTTCCACCAGCGGTCAGAATAGCTAAAAGGCTAACTACTATAGAGATTAACACAATTTCAACTGTTGTTCGATCAACGCCTAAATCCTCGTCTTCTGTAAAATTCCCCAAAGTTCTGGATGATACATTGTCAAATCCGGGTAAAAAGAACAAGTCCGTAAATGAGGGTGAAGATAAAGGTTGGGTGAAACCGTTCGCAGTAGGGAGTAGAGTGGTCGTAGATCCGTTGCGAACAGAAAGCGAACTCTGGGTCGTGTTTGAAAGTGGATAAGTGGCGTGAAAATACTCGTTGAAGGAAACCGACTGATTACCTCCAAGATTTGTCTGGAACTCTTGGTACGAAGCAGATAAATTGTGCAGAAGTGAGTTGAGAGTGTTGGCTAATGAGTGAGGCATAGTAGCCTCACTCTCTTTGGAGTCAGTTGGAGGCGATATAGAAGTGTTGTGAATCTGAAAGGAATCGTTCGGGGCCCTCTGATAGAAAGAGGCAGGGACAGGGGGCAGACGAGGTGGAAATATTTTCGATTCGACCGTCGGTAGAGGGGGGCCAGGGGCCTCCCGAGTCGTCCTCCCGAAATTAGTGCCGTCTCTCAACGTCGCCATGTTGCTGGAGATATGGATGTTCTCATTTGCGCCGGCATCCCATGACCGCGAGGTTGTGACGAGGCCGCCATCGTTGGATTCGGTTGTCATAGCGATGACGCACGCTCCGAGCAACAGCAACGATCTCTGCCACTATTTTAGGAACATGGAGGGATGATGACACCGATGGAGAAACGCGTCCCCAAGGAGAGAAAGAGAGAGAGAGAGAGAGAGAGAGAGAGAGAGAGAGAGAGAGAGAGAGAGAGAGAGAGAGAGAGAGAGAGACAGAGAGTCAGTCTCGATCTCTATCAGCTGAAATCAAAGCGCCACCAAGCGAGAAAAATGGAAATGCAGAAAGAGGAAAGCAGGGTAAAACTTCTCTGACAGCCGCGGTGCGAGTGGTAGGAAACAGAGGCCACAAACAGCCGAACACAGCGGCCGGGAAAGTCAATACGGCTGCGGGAAAATCCGCAATAAAGCACAGAAGAGCACGATTTGGGCGTATCAGTGAAGGCCCCGGCTGAAGTGAGGGTTTGGCGCGAAATGGCCGATAGCTCCACTGCCTCGATTTCGTGACCGGCACTCTGCGTCATGGTTTAGCATGATGACGTCACTGGGTCTTCTCGACGTAAGTGGGGTTTTCCTGCAATGTAAGAGAATAACATTGGCAATGTGAATCGAAAGGTTGGCAAGGCTTGGAGGTATTGTTGTTGTTTATATTTTTGGGGTGGTTGTGTTGGTCGTAATATTTTGGGTGGAGTTTTAGAAAGGGATAGGGAAGATGTTCATAAAGTAAACGAAAGTGTATTTGTGCGTGTGAGTATGTGGGTGTGTATAATATACATGTGTGTGTGTGCGTGTGTGTGCGTGTTTGTGTGTGTGTGTCCGTGTGTGTGTGTGTGTGTGTGTGTGTGTGTGTGTGTGTGTGTGTGTGTTTTATGTATGCGCACGCTAGCGTGTTTTTATGTCCTTCTACCCTTTTGTCTCGACCCTACCTAGTCCTCTGAACCTGCTCAGACTCTCGTGCACCCGTGTGTATCTGAGTTGGTGTGCATGTTTCTGGGGTCTAAGAATAGTAAAAGCTGACACTAGTAGAAAAATCTACAGTGGTGCCCCAACATTCAGCACAACTGCGGGATAAGTGAATGTGAAGGTGAAGGTGTGAAAGATACTATCAGTATACTGGCGTTTTTTGCGCTCGTAAAATGGCTGCATGTACTGTAAGCTCCCCAGGAAGTTGAGATTGTTTCAGAATGCTATCAGGTCTGCTGAGATAATATTATAAAATGTAAAACGCATAGAGCTCGCTGTTTAGGAAATATTTACGAGATACAAATGCTATTTATTTATTTATTTATTTATTCATTCATTTATTTATTCATTCATTTATTTATTCATTTTGAAAATGCATTTATTTATCCATATTTGTATTTATTTATATCATCATTATTATTTTTAGTAATATCATTATTATTATTATCATCATCATCATTAATAATAATAACTATTATTTTTCACTATAATATACAGTCACTCGTCCCTCAGTATACGTACGTTGTACCAGCATGGAAAAAACGCCAGAGAGTGTCATTTCTTGTCGAGGCAAAGGAGATAGATTCTATCTAGATCATGTCCGTGCCTTATCTAAACCTGAATTTTGGTAATACCCAAATCATGACATGTTCACTTGGCATACACCGACATTTATATAACCACAATTAATGCTAACTTTGCACTTACTCCGGCGTGTACCAAAGAGCACCTACATAACATCGCCGTCATTCTTCAATGTCGTATGTCAAAATTCGAGGTTTTCAGGAGCAACAAAAAAAGAGGTGTTTTATTTCGCTTATTCCAATAGCAAAATGTTTAATTATTCATCTATATTCGTTATCAATTCAAGAAGAGGAATGAGACTAGGGACCAATGGATGCGCTTCATCAAACTCTATACCATACTTGTTTTTCATTTATTTCCCCTCGAAATTTTGACATACTACAATGTAAAATAACGTCGATGGCACATTCTCACAGACAGACATGAACATATTAAAAATATCTATGCTGACTGTTTTTCTGTTTTGTTGTTGTTGTTTTATTGTTATTGCTGGCTGTTTTTTTTTTGTTTTTTTTTTTTGGTTTGTTTGTTTTATTTGTATAACTAAAAAGTAGGATCGACAGAAATGCAGTAGGAAGGCCGCAACGGTAAAATCTATAAAATGGCACC